ACTGAAAAGAGCCTGGCTCCATCCTCTTGATACCCGCCTTTTAGATATTTGTAATCATTGATAAGGTCCCCTCTCAACCTTCTCTTCTCCAGGCTAAAGAGCTCCAGATCTCTCAGCCTTTCCTCATAAGAGAGATGCCGCAGTCCCCTCATCATCTTCACAGCCCTCCGCTGGACTCTCCCCAGTAGTTCCCTGTCTCTCTGGAGCTGAAGAGCCCAGAACTGGACACAGCACTCCAGGTGTGGCCTCATCAGGGCAGAGTAGAGGGGGAGGAGAACCTCCCTCGACGTGCTGGCCACACTCTTCTTACTGTACCCCAGGACGCCATTGGCCTTCTTGGCCACAAGGGCACATTGCTGGCTCATGGGTAACTTGCTGTCCACCAGAACTGTGTCTTCTCTGCAGAGCTGCTCTCCAGCAGGTCAACCCCCAACCCGTACTGGTGCAGGACCCTACACTTGCCCTGGTTCAACTTCATTAGGTTCCTCTCCGGCCAACTCTCTAGCCCATCCAGGTCTCAGTACTATTTAAACCCCGGACAGAAAGGAAGAATAACAGTCCTTTTTGAATCCCTCATTTTAGCAGATCATGGTATAACTTGTGCTTGCTAGATAAACCTGCAGCTGTGCTTGACACTTGGTTGTGTGAACGACTGTGAGGAAGCTGACTTACAATTTTCAAGTCAAAGAGTTTCATCTCCTCTTGGCCTATTTATTAGATGGCCAGCTAAATGGGGAGCTCCTTGAAAAAATGTGTGGCAGCTTAATTCTCCTCTGACCAGTTGGAGTAACCTTAGTATTTGAGAGTTAATCAAAGTTGGAGCTGAAAATTGTCCCTCTTGGATACTGTACTGAGCCACTTGAGAATCTTATCCATCAGAAGAATTCTCCTTGAAGGTAGTAGACAAGATCTTCTAATAGGACAGCACGATGGGAGATCAGGTTAGCATCATTCCTCTCCCAAGTTGGCAAACAGCAGTGCAGTTCTAGCACAGCACTGACGTGCCTTGGAAGCCTTTTTATCCTGCGAGATTTGACAGAATATGAGGGACCGAGATTGCAGAAGCGAAAGCATTAGTTACACTGGCTGCTCTGGTGAGTCACTAGTTCATCATCTGAAATGTGAGGTTTAAATTTGTGATTTCTGAGTTACAACAGCACCCTAACTGCCACAAGTTCTGTTTCAAAAAGTGGGGTGTTTTTTGCCACAAAAAGGAAAAGGCACTTTAAATACCCCAGTTTACTTAGTTTATTTTTCGTATCTAAGAC